CTCTTAATCTAGTCTCCTTGTCACCACTCTGTCGAGCCCTCCCCCTATACCCCATGGGATCTAAAAGAATGACATGACCTCAAGTAATCATCTGTAACCGAAGCTATGAGGAACTATGAAAAAAGAATCCAAATAAGACAGAAGATGCACTAATAAAACGCTAGAGAATTGAGGAGTACTAAAAATCCTAGTTGGTTACTTAATAGGATTTTAAGAAATAATAATACTATCTTATTTAACTATAGGCCAATATCTAGAAACTATAATTTAAAAAGTTCAATAAATATCCGAGCTAAGCAAAAAAGGATTAAAATTGTAACACGAGATATAAGAGTAATGAAATCCTACTCAACTAATTGAAAAACATCAAACCCAAAGCTGATAAAAAAAATCAGTATAAAAACAAGAGAAAAAAACAGCAAGAAGCTAAGTCAAAGAAAGCAGATCCAACAACAACAAGATTAATAAATATTAAGTACAAAAATATGCAAGGGATATGCAAAACAACGACAAAGCTAAAAGGGATATATCAAAATTCGTGGATGCGAAATTAACACTCTTTGTTCAGATAAAAATTTGATAAAAACCGTGCTATAACACAAAATCAAACCTTTACCTATCAAGAAAATTAGCATGCAAAATCTCATGAAATTAGAAGAAAAAGAGAAAACCCAAAATTTTTGTTCAGAAATTAAACCGCTGACGAAGGCGATCGTTGCTCTACGAGGAAGGTGGTCCGATCGAACTGGAGGTTGTGGGATTTGATATAGTTCCAGATCTGCTTAACAGCGTCCGTACGGGAAGCTTGTTGAGCTCCAAGGAATCGACCCAAAGCAGGGGAAACAGGGGCGATTTTAAAAATCCCGGACGGTCGAGTCGTGGTTCGGGCGTAGCTGGTTTTTCAACCTTGGGTTTTGAAGTGGTCGACTTTTTCGGAGTTTTAAGCAGAAGTTCTGTTTTTTTTTTCGCTGGATCTGCAAAGAACGCCCTCTAAAATATATCATTAATTTAAAATATAGAGTTTATGACTCAAGATATAAATAAGGGTCTATGACAGTACATGCCCTCTAAAACTCTCGAAACGTACTCTGAAGAAGCAAAGTATGGAATTCGAGTTGGCGAATAGCTCATCAGCTGGCACCTACTTACCTGCGCACGGAAACACATTCCATACGCTGAGCTCACAAGCTCAGTACCACAAAAAATAACCAAGCTATACTACATGTATCCAATAAATAAGCATGATACAATATAGTCATGAGCAATACAAAAATCCAGGAAACGGTAAGTAACATAGTGTAGTTCGGGGTCACATAGCATCACGAAACTCACACCACTCTTTACTTACAACATTTAAGAAATACCTGGGTCACATAGCCCAAACAAATAAACCTGAAACTCCTAACTCATATTTTGGGGCGTTACACACACGCCAGACAAAAAATATTTTCAAGCATTTTGATGATCAAATTGGAGTAAGTTAGAACAAATCGAAGCAAACCAAAGCAAAAGGAAGCAAACCCCTTTCCTAAATCTTTGGTAACAATCAAGAGAACAACTAAAAATGATAAATGAAATATCCGTTTGACATGCAATACCAAATCAATCTATAAAAAAAACACAACAATGTCGAAGTCAATGAGCTAAAGAAGACATGCAATAGATCAGATCCATCGAAAAAGGAAAAGGTCTACTGCGATTTGGTTAAACTCAATAATGAGGAACTATTTTTAACTAAGGTTTTCAAGTCAAATTTTAACTTCACGATGAAGGATATTTGAAGAAAACACAAAATCAATGGCGATTTAGCTTAACTCAACGACAATGAGCTATTTCTCAGCCTATATTTTGAGCTAGATTTCAACTTCACAACTAATGATATTAAGCTCGAATTGCCTAGGATCGATTTAACTCGCGATGGAGCAATCATCTACAACATAGTTGAACTTAACAACGAGAATCTACTTTCTAACCAAGGTCTTCAGTCGAATTTCAACTTCACAGTAAAGGATATTGGACTAGAAGAAGACCAAGATCGACTGCGATTTAGATTAACTCAACGACGAGGAGCTACTTTTTAGCCCATATTTTGAGCAAGATTTCAACTTCACGACGAATGATATCAAGTTCGAGTCATACAAGACTGACTTAACTCGCAATGGAGGAGTCATCTACAATATAGTTTAACTCAATAACGAGGAGCTATATTCCCTCCAACTTGACTCATATAGGGTAGACAAATGTTGAGTCATATTTCAACTCCACGACAGAGGATATCTGACTCAAGGAAAAACTTAACCCGCAATGGATGAGTCAACAACACCATAGCTTAACAACGATGAGTTATGTCCCAAGTCTTTAAGTCAAATTTCAACTCCATGATGGGGGATATTAGACCAAAAGAACAATCATCTACAACTTCGACACATATCTCAACTTCACAACAAAGGATATCGGCTCGAAGAAAATCCCACTTTAACTTAGCTCGATATTGTGTACAAGTCTTCACCAAACTTAACCCACGGAGGAAGTCACCCGAAGTTTGATCCGATTCCTAAAGAAAAACTAAATGTCTCAACACTAGAGCAAGCTTGCTTTCGGAATTCGTCTTTTTTAAAAATTGAAAGAAAATTCGTGTCTTTCTATCATTGTCTTATTGTCGTTAAACGATAATTGAAAAAAGGACAACTGTAAACACCTATTTTCGTTTGTGATTTACTTTTTAATTTTAATATATATATATATATATATATATTGTATAGTATAGTTTTTAATATATATATATATATATTTTGAAATTTATAGTTTTTAAAAATATATATAATTTTTAATATATGTATTATTGTTATTGTTTTATTTTTAATTTTTAGGTTTGATATGATTCGGTTTCAGGGTCCAATTCTATGTTCATTAACCAAGTCAAGGTCCAAGTACAAAGCCCAACCAAGCAATGCAAGCTTGACCTAGAAAGAAAAATCAGTCAGGAAGCCTATGTGCAAAATTAAGGTTTTATATTTAATCATTAACATTGCACGACTTATATCTATTAGATCAAACCATAATCTGACGTCCAGATCATGTGGTAATTAGGGTTATAAAACCATAAAAGATGTCATCTCGCGTAGCCAATCTAGGGCCGTTGGATCTAACATTTGATCCAATGGCTAGAATGAATTCAGATAACCCAATCTCACTGGCCGATCAAGGAACGACGCATGAAAACCACGTGTCGGCGAAATAGCCCCCACACATCAAGAAAAAAATATTTTCAAGTATTTTTATGACCAAATCGGAGAAAGTTGGAGCAAATCGAAGCAAGTCAAAGAAAAAGGAAGCAAATTCCTTACCTAAATATTCGACAACAATCAAGAGAGCAACCATAAATGAGAAAGGAAACATTCTTTTAACATGTAAGACTAAATCAATCAACAAAAACGAAAAAGACAATAATAACCGAAGTCAATAAGCCAAATAAGGCATGCAATATATCAGATCCATCGAAAAAGGAAAATATGCTTCCTTTTCACCATTTCCTATCGATTTTGGGATTGAGTGAGATGCCAAAGATATTACATTGAATGAAAGAATCCCTTCTCCTCAAGCTATAAAAACCTTGCGCAAAAGAAAAGGAGAGAAGTCTGTAAGAGCTTGAAAGCATTAAAAAAATCATAAAATACCATAAAAATCAAAGGTGAGAGGAGGGCTTAACTTAAGTCTTCTTTACTACCAAGAAAGACAAACAACCACATAGTAATCGAAGAGACGTCGTCAAGAAAGATAAAGAAACCATGAGTTTTTGGTGTAGATCTACGATGAATAGTCATTCTTCTCGGGATTTGATGTTTAGATTTGGGTTCACGGTGAGGCAAGGATTCTTTTGGACACAGTGGTTGAAGGGTGACGATGTGGTTGATTGGAGAAATTTTGATCGTGGTCTAAAAAGGGGAGGGAGAACTTTTGAGAGCATTTAGAAAAGGTTTTTGGAAAGAAATGTGAAAAATAAGATAAAAGAAGGAATTTTTGGTTTCAATAGGGGAACAAGTTTTTAATTAAAGGATAGTTAAATCACCCCTGTCGTCCCCATATTTTGATGCAAATTAATCCTTTGTCCTATACATTTTATTTAATTTCGATTATTATTGGTGTATTAACCTTTTTTTCATTTTACAATGTTATTTATTTATTTATTAGAAAAATTAATTTTATTGTTAAGGGGTTTTATTTTAAAATTTCAAAATTATATTAGAGGTAAGTAATCTGAATCAAATATTTAAATTTATATCTAAATTTTAATTTTTTCAATTAAATAATCGGATAATCAAATGGTACCAAAAGAATAATTTGATGGTACTCATCTTTCTTCAATTATAAATGACTTTCGAAACTGACAAAATTTTGATAAGATGCAAATCTGGTAAAAAAGTAAAGTTGAGGTATCTAATCTAGTCGAAACACGAAATCGGAATAAGACGTTTAGTACAATTGACTCTATTAAAAATATAAAAAGGAAGGACAACAGTGAAACGGCAGCGTTCCGTACTTCTAGAAGTGTGCATTTATGCGAAGCAAGCATATTCTTCACCACCTCTATTTTCCTTCTCTGCACAATTTTTTTAAATATAGTTTTTTCAATAAAATCTTTTAATTGGTTCTCTCTATTGTAAACTTCGCTTTCCAATCCTTCGTTTCTTTTTTCTTTACACTCTTCAAACCGATACTAAAACTATAGCTGGAAACGAATCGATTCAATAATTTTTTCGACAAGAAGAATAATATATTTATTGTTATATTAGATAAATTTGGAATCGTGTTGATTGATCGATCTGTCGATGGAGGATTGTTGGAGCAGCGATGAGGATTACTTCTATTCGTCCGATCGAAACTCCCTCGACGGTCTTGAGAATGAGGACTCCGATTTACAGTGGGCCCCTTCAAAGGGTCCCACTATCAAGGTCCATTTTCTCCCTTTTCTCTTAGGAATTCAATTTCTTGTTTCAGTTTGTCATCGATTTATTGATTCTGGGTTCTGGGGTTTTTTTATCCAGTTTAAAGCTTGGGTTTTTGTTTTTGTTTGGTAAAAAGATGGTTTTGGGTGTCTTGTGGATTTTCACAGGATAGAGTAATTTAAAGGAGCTTTACGATTTTCCTTTTTGTGTTGTTTGCATGGTCATTGAGGAAATCTTTAATTTCACAAGCGGAGGAGCTGCTGATCGTTGAATTGATCAATTTTTTCTCCATCTGATGTGTATATCCTCTAGTGTATGCTTTGTGCTTTTGTTAGACCATATTGCATTGTGTATATTGAACATTTCCCCTTCAAGAACATGGGGCGGGGGGATTAATCTTGATCGGAAAACATTAAAAAGAATAACAGGTTAAATGGTTTTTTATGGATTATATTTTCTTCATCAAATTAGAATGGGGGCATACTTGTGTTGTAACCCTTTTTGGTTTTATGCAGGTTATTACAAAAGAATCACTTTTAGCTGCGCAGGTAAAAAGTTTTTCCCTTTTTCTTTTTGTGGTTTCCCGTGCATGTGTGTTTATTTTTTCAGGATTGGAATTGAATTGATTGTTTTGGTAGAGGGAAGATTTGAGGAGAGTAATGGAGATGCTATCTCTTAGAGAGCACCATGCTCGGACTTTACTAATTCATTACCGATGGGATGTTGAGAAGTTGCTTGCCGTACTTGTGGAGAAGGGGAAAGAGGACTTGTTTTCTGAAGCAGGTGTTTCTGTTGTTGACAGTGAGGATAAAGAAACACCAATGTCGTCTTCATCTACAGGAATGTGTAACATATGCATAGAGGAGTTACCTGGTGGTAAGATGACGAAAATGGACTGCGGCCATGCCTTTTGCAATGACTGTAAGAATCCTCCCTTAATCTGCATCTGTTCTTATAACTTCAGCTTTTAGACAATGCTTAGAATTCTTCAAATTGAACGCTAGAAATGAGTGAATCAACTCTATCAAATTTCCTTTTTCCAGGTTGGACAGAACATTTTGTTGTGAAGATAAATGAGGGTCAAAGTAAGCGCATTAGGTGCATGGCACACAAGTGCAATGCTATTTGTGATGAAGCTGTTGTCAGAAATCTAGTTGGTAAAAGGCATCCTGATCTAGCAGAGAGATTTGATCGTTTTCTTCTTGAGTCATACATTGAAGATAACAGGATGGTTAAATGGTGCCCTAGTACTCCTCATTGTGGAAATGCAATACGCATTGAGGATGATGAATTTTGTGAGGTAGAGTGTTCTTGTGGCTTACAGTTTTGTTTTAGTTGCTTATGCGAAGCACACTCTCCATGTTCATGTACGATGTGGGAGCTTTGGATGAAGAAGTGCCGAGATGAATCAGAAACAGTCAATTGGATCACTGTTCATACAAAGCCTTGTCCAAAGTGTCACAAACCTGTGGAGAAGAATGGTGGATGTAATCTTGTGAGCTGTATCTGTGGACAAGCATTTTGGTAAGAATTTCCTTTGCAAATTTATGAAAGCTGTCTAAATCTTATCGTGGTGACAATTAGTTCTCTAGATTCAGTGTTTGGTTCTGGCATAAATGTTCATTTCAAATCAAAGCTTTTGAACTTGCACATGCTGCCATATTAAGAAGAGCATAAGTGACTTGTTATCCTCTTTCCTGTTTAATTTATTTATAGTTGTAGTATTTGATTTGTTTACATGATTTATGCACTGCGAAATATGAATTACTTTATCACATTTCTTTCTTTTCCAACTAATGCAGTTGGCTGTGTGGTGGTGCTACTGGGCGGGACCATACGTGGTCAAGAATTACTGGTCACAGCTGTGGTCGCTACATAGAAGACCGTGAAAACAATACTGAACGAGCAAAGCGAGATCTCTATCGTTATATGCACTATCATAACTGTTATAAAGCTCATACAGATTCATTTAAGCTTGAGAGTAAACTCAAGGAGACTATACTGGATAAGGTATCAATATCAGAAGAAAGGGAATCGAGACTTAGAGATTTCAGCTGGGTAAATAATGGACTTCTTAGACTTTTCAGGTCAAGGCGGGTTCTTTCATTTTCATACCCTTTTGCATTTTACATGTTTGGAGAAGAATTATTCAAGGATGAGATGACAGATGAGGAAAGGGAAATTAAACGGCATCTATTTGAGGATCAGCAGCAGCAGCTTGAGGCAAATGTTGAGAAACTCTCCAAGTTATTGGAAGAGCCCTTTGATCAATATACCGATGATAAAGTTATGGAGATACGGATGCTTGTAATCAATCTTTCTGTGATCATTGATAACCTTTGTAAGAAAATGTAAGTATCTTTATTACATATCAACTACTAATTGATGTTTCTGAGAGGGTTTTAAATTCATGTGCTGAGACTATTGCTTGCAGGTATGAATGCATTGAGAATGATTTATTGGGTTCTCTCCAACGAAATACCCATAATATAGCTCCATACAAATCCAAGGGCATCGAGAAAGCATCAGAGCTTGCTGTCTGTTCGAATAGTAAAGCCAGTACTCCTACTGGTAAATGCCTTCCCCCCAATTGCGGCACTAGTGGTATGTGCACTTATCTTGTTGGAGATCAAAACAGACACACATAAAACTCATATATTTTAAAGATTTTACTAACACATTGCAATATAGGAAAACACAACCGATCTTTCAGCTTTGGGAATTCAGATGACAGTGGTTGCCCATCATCGAAGCAACCTAAAAGGGAGAGTTATGGAGGTGGTTTCTTTGATCTGAATTTGCCTGCAGAAGTTCTTGACAGGAATCGATCTCTCTAATAGGCTTTTTCTAGATAAGTACATATGTACAGATCTAACTAGAGACCTTTCACTTTATCTAATGGGGTTTGATGATTCTATGGATTGAGCATAGAACCGCGGAAATGATTTACTTTCCCTGTTTAGCATCCCTTTTGTCCATCTTCTCAATTTTTTAGATTTTGGAAGATCAATTCTGAATTTCTTAGGTTCTTTTATCTTTCAAAGGTTGTGTGAACTGAAAATCCATTTAATGTACAGAAGCCTTAGACTTTTGAATATGCGAGTAATTTCTCAAACCTGAAATTTGGGTTATGCAAAGTGTGCTTCTTTGGGATATTCTTCATTGCTTATCTTTGCATCTGTTGGTAACTATGGAGTTTGCTTGGATATTTATTTAAAACCCTTTTTTGGCTATTCTACTTGTTGCGATCTGATCCATCCGTCGGTCACGAGTCGAGCCATGAGAATGTATGCCGGAATTGTTCTCTTTAGGTTTCTCAAGGTTTAATCACCGCCGGTGATGATATATGCTCTTTCCCGCGGACGATGATGTCTGATGTCGACACTGATAAGCTTGGTCCTCCATTCGATTCTTTTGGCGTCGAGCAGGACTTGAGCCTTCTGAAACTCTGAGAAAGTTCGAAGCAAGCAACTCATTTTAGTAATCGTCATATAGTTGAATGCAATAATTTTGATTAAAATTCCAATTTAAACTGGTCAATCAATCATAGACCCTCGGCAACATTCTTGACAACCAAACTTAAGGAATGCTATTTACTTCTTTTCTCTTTAATATTATTTTCTCCATTTGTAGTACATATCCTATTAAAAAGAATGAAACATGATGAAAACCTAACTTTCCGGATTAATGTACGCAATTCTTTGGTGATGCATGTAATGTTCTCCCTTTTCAATCTTCATTGTGTTTGATTTTTGAGTAAGAAAAAAATCACTCTGTAATGGTTCGATAAATTTAATATTATTATATGAATTTTGAAAGTTTAATGGTTAAAAAATCATTTGAGTATAATTTAAGGACCTCTGGTTTAATTTACACTTAAAGATTACTAGTGGTCAACCTAACCCTTCCTCCACACAACTTGTCAACATTGTTTATGATTTTCTATAGAAAGATTAAACTTTGAGACATTAATCTGAAGGTCAAAGCCATCAATGTTCTGAAATTCAAAGCCTACCAAAAACAATGTTCTGTAAAAATCCATGGTATTGGCAAGTCCCTGGTTTTGGCTGAAGATATCTTATGGTGACCAGCAAAAGAGTTGGCTCCTCAGGGCCTTGAAGAGTTAATATTCATCTTTACAGGGATTGGTATATAAATACTGCAAAGATTTCAATTGTGGAAACCAAGATACCTGTTAAAATCCCAGAGTTGTTTAAACAACAATGGCTGCCTGTGAAGGAAAAGTTTTCACTGAAGAGCAAGAAGCTTAGGTGGTCAAGTCATGGTCTGCAATGAAGAAGAACTCAGCTGAATTGGGTCTCAAATTCTTCTTGAAGTAAGCATTTTGTTTGGTATTTATTTTTCATTTCTTTTGTTTTTGTCAATGATCCAGACATTCAGGTCACTCAATTATGTTCAAATGATCCTTTTGGTCACTAAATTTTCAAAAAATGGGACAGGATTTTTGAGATTGCACCATCAGCCACGAAGCTGTTTTCATTGTTGAGAGACTCAAATGTTCCATTGGAGCAAAACACAAAGCTCAAGCCCCATGCAATGTCCGTCTTTGTTATGGTACGTAAAGCCTTCTGCCTATTAAGTTTCCGGTCAAATTGTGGCTTCAGTCCCTCTACTATGCTCAAATTCGACCTAATGAACGTACTTGATCCCTGCAAACATGCATGGATGGATTGAGGGGACTGGTTGGGGCGATCTTCCCCCTAAAAAGTTGAATTGTTTAAATAATCTAGATATTTTCTTTATATTTTTTTATTGATAATTTGTTTTTGTTCCTATAAATTTATAAATTTATCCCTAACATAAAATACTGTGTCCGTTAGTTGCAGAACATTTTGAGGTGACAAAGTTTGCTCTGATGGAGACCATAAAGGAAGCAGTTCCAGAAATGTGGTCAGCCGAGATGAAGAGTGCATGGGGTGAAGCTTATGATCGTCTGGTTGCAGCCATCAAGGCTGAAATGATGGCCTGCTCTCAGGCTTCCTAATTTGGGTTCAATAAGAGTTGAAGGTTCAATCATTTGATGCTGTGATGTAACATGGTGATTGCTCATCATTTCTGGGTTTTGTTGCTTCTTTGCTTGTGTGTTTGCATCTGTCTTTTGTTTACTTGTTTAGTTTCATAGATGATTGCAGAAAATTTATGTAAACAATTAATATGATAAGGGATCCATCCCACTTGATTTTGAGTCAAAATGTTGAAAAATAATTGATAGATTTTGGTAGGAAATAATCACAAGATGACAATATGAGCTCTCTTTTTTTCTCCTACTCCAATACCATCATAGGTCCTGTTAAATCGGATTTTTGGTCCATCCGAACCAATTCGAATATATACCTCTTCACCCTCAACTGAACTAACTCAGATTTAGGAAAGTTCACTCGATTTGATATACAATACGATTTTTAAGGTAAACATTCGTACCCAACTCAACTGACACAAATAAATTTCATTTTTATTAAGAATCTAATTGAAAACAATATAGATGAGAGTTACCATAGTCAGGTGCGAATGTGAACTTTTACATCAAAAGCTGGTTTAGATTTCGATTTGGGTGAAACCTCCCTAAATTTAATCATATCAAATACAAATAAAAGAATATAATACTCAAATCAAACTCGAGTAAACAAAAAATTTGATCTAATTTGGCTCATAGTTATCTCTAATTCTGGTCCTATCTTTTTCAAGTTCTATCTTCAGTTATCCACATGACATCAACGTTTGGAAATTAAGGTGAGTCCAAATATTATATATAGTGCATCTACCTGCTGAATCCAGAGAAAGATTGCATCAGGCAATTTGCTGCATAAAATATTCAAGTAAAGTGGTGTTCATCATAACCAACTACCTGTTGAAAGTCCAAGTTAATTGTCAAACTTGGGGGCACCGAAAGTGCACAATTAATGGCACCAAAAAAGTAGCCAGCAATTGTGGAAAAATTTGCAAGGGTAAAATTACACTTTTAGCCCCCTAGACTTTAGGGTATTTACAAATTAGTCCTTATGATTCAACTATAAATACCCTAGCTTATTTAGCTTCAAAACCATCCCAAAGCATTCTAGCTTTCTTCCAATACTAGAGAGAATTTAGAGAGTTTCTTGAGAGTTGTTTTCTTCTTTTTATCGAGAGAGAATTATCATTGTTTTCTCCTTGGTAGATCGAGAGATGTTGTAATTCCTATTTTCTCATAGTGAAATTCGTCTACCGTTGCCCGTGGTTTTTACCCTATTTTATTTAGGGGTTTTCCACGTAAATTTTGTGTCTCTTTTTATCTTCATTTTTATTTTCTCAAATTATCATTTACGATTTTGCTCTATCCGATAGCCGTCTTCCGCAACAATTGGTATCCGAGCCAGATTGGAGTGTGTAATATCTGCTTATTGTCTTTGTGGTTGCCACCAAAAGGTGGATCCTCCAACATAAGAAAGTAAGAAGGTATTACCCATTCTTTGAAGGTTCCAGAGAACTATTCACGATAGTGAAATAGTGGGAGCTATTCGTAATAGAAGCTATGGCAACGAAATTTGATATTGAAAAGTTCAATGGGGGAAATTTCTCATTGTGGAAATTAAAGATGAAGGCCATCCTGAGGAAAGACGTGTGTCTAGCGGCTATCAATGAAAGGCCGGTGGATTTCACAGATGACATCAAATGGAACGAGATGGACGAGAATGCTATGACAAACTTTCATCTAGCATTAGCAGATGAAGTATTGTCAAGCATCGAGGAGAAGAAGACAGCTAAGGAGATATGGGATCATCTCACAAAACTGTACGAGGCCACATCGTTGCACAATAAAATTTTCCTTAAGAGGAAATTGTACACTCTCCGTATGCCAGAATCTACTTCAGTGACGGAGCACTTAAATACACTGAACACCTTATTTTCTCAGCTTACATCCTTAAGCTGTAAAATAGGAGAACAAGAACGTGCTGAACTTCTACTTCAAAGTCTACCAGATTCGTATGATCAACTCATCATCAACTTGACAAACAATAATGTCACTAGTCTAGTCTTCGATGACGTTGCAGCTACTGTTCTACAAGAAGAAAATCGGCGCAAGAACAAGGAAGACAGACAAGTAAATCTGCAACAAGCAGAAGCGTTGACAACGATGAGAGGGAGATCAACAGAACATGGCCAAAGCAGCAGTCATAAACATGGTAGATCGAAGTCGAGGAGCAAGAAGAATTTAAAGTGCTACCACTGTGGAAAGAAGGGTCACTTGAAGAAGGATTGTTGGAGTCTAAATAAAAACTCCAATCCACAAGGCAACGCCGCAAACACTTCAGATGATGGAGATGCTCTATGTTGTGAAGCGTCAACCACCGTTGAAGGTAGAAAACGTTTTGCAGATATATGGCTCATTGATTCTGGAGCAACATATCACATGACCTCAAAAAGAGAATGGTTTCATCATTATGAACCTGTCTCAGGAGGATCTGTGTATAGTTGCAATGATCATGCCTTAGAGATCATTGGCGTGGGAACCATCAAATTGAAGATGTATGATGGAACAATTAAAGTTGTTCGAGATGTGCGGTACGTGAAAGGTCTGAAGAAAAATTTATTATCCTACGGATTGTTGGATAATAATGCAAGCAAGATTGAAACACAGAAAAGAATCATGAAGGTGTTCCGTGGAGCGCTTGTGGTGCTGAAAGGCGAAAAGATAGCTGCAAACTTGTACATGCTGAAGAGAGAGACTTTGATAGAAGCAGAAGCCTCTGTTGCCTCATGTAGTTCTGATTCTGCAATGCTATGGCATAAGAAACTTGGACACATGTCAGAACAAGGAATGAAAGTCCTTGTGGAGCAAAAGCTACTTCCCAGCTTAACAAAGGTATCACTTCCTTTGTGTGAGCATTGCATAACAAGTAAGCAACACCGGTTGAAATTCAACACGTCAAATTCTAGAGGCAAAAGTGTTCTAGAATTGGTTCACTCTGACGTATGGCAAGCACCGGTCACATCCCTAGGCGGAGCAAAATACTTTGTCTCATTTATTGATGACTACTCCAGGAGATGTTGGGTGTACCCTATTAAGAAGAAGTCAGATGTGTTTGCAACTTTCAAAAACTTCAAAGCGCGGGTGGAACTTGATTCTGGAAATAAGATCAAGTGTTTCAGAACAGATAATGGAGGAGAATACACAATCGAAGAATTTGATGACTTTTGCAAGAGAGAAGGCATCAAAAGACAGTTCACAGTGGTGAACACTCCTCAACAAAATGGAGTGGCAGAGTGGATGAACAGAACCTTGTTAGAAAGAACACGAGCAATGTTGAGGGATGCAGGCCTAGAAAAATCATTCTGGGCAGAAGCAGTCAATACCGCCTGTTATTTGGTGAATAGAGCTCCATCAACTGCAATAGAGCTGAAGACACCAATGGAGATGTGGACTGGTAAACCAACTGATTATTCAAACCTCTATGTATTTGGAAGTATTGTGTACGTGATGTACAACTCCCAAGAAATTTCGAAGTTGGATCCAAAATCCAGGAAATGCAAATTCTTGGGGTATGCTGATGGAGTAAAGGGGTATCGCTTGTGGGATCCCACTACCCGCAAAGTGATCATTAGCAGGGATGTTATCTTTGTAGAAGATAAACTAAAAAGAAAAGAAGATGATGCTAGCGTTGAAAAGTCAGAGACTACTCATATACATGTGGAAAAGGAGGTTGAACAAGGAGATTCTTCTGAAGCAGAACCAGCTCATGATGAACAAGAACTAGAGAGTTCTGAAGCTCCAATAACTCGTCAATCAGATCGTGTGAGAAGACGCCCCAATTGGCACTCAGATTATGTTATAGAAGGTAATATTGCATATTGCCTTTTAACAGAAGACGGTGAGCCATCAACATACCAGGAGGCAATAAACAGCTCAGATGCTTCATTATGGATGATGGCGATGCAAGAAGAAATCGAAGCCCTTCATAAAAATAATACATGGGACCTTGTGCCACTACCACAAGGAAGGAAGCCAATAGGTAACAAATGGGTCTTCAAAATCAAGCGAAATGTTGACGATCAAGTGGAGAGGTACCGTGCAAGACTAGTGGTCAAAGGATATGCTCAAAAAGAAGGTATTGATTTCAATGAAATTTTTTCTCCCGTGGTTCGACTAACAACAGTTCCAGTACTCTTGGCAATGTGTGCTACATTGAACTTACATCTAGAGCAGCTAGATGTTAAAACAGCTTTTTTTCATGGAAATCTTGAAGAAGAGATTTATATGCTCCAGCCTGAAGATTTTGAAGAAAAAGAAAAGAAGAACTTGGTTTGCAGGTTGAACAAATCTCTGTACGGTCTAAAGCAGGCGCCGAGGTGTTGGTATAAGAGATTTGATTCCTTCATTATGTGCCTTGGATACAACAGACTTAATGCAGACCCTTGTGCTTATTTCAAGAGGTCTGGTGATAACGATTTTGTTATATTGTTGTTGTATGTGGATGACATGTTGGTTGCAGGACCCAACAAAGATCATATTGAAGAATTAAAGGCACAACTGGCTAGGGAATTTGAAATGAAGGACTTGGGATCAGCAAACAAGATTCTAGGGATGCAAATTCACCGAGACAGAAGTAATAGGAAGATTTGGCTTTCACAAAAGAATTACTTGAAGAAGATATTGTCACGATTCAACATGCAAGATTGTAAGCCAATTTCTACCCCTCTTCCTATTAACTTCAAATTATCCTCCAGTATGAGTCCTAGCAGTGAAGAAGAGAGGATGAATATGTCTCGAGTACCGTATGCATCAGCAGTGGGAAGTTTAATGTTCGCTATGATATGCACAAAGACTAGACATTGCACAAGCAGTGGGAGTGGTTAGTCGGTACATGGCGAATCCAGGCAAAGAGCATTGGAATATTGTAAAGAGGATCCTAAGATACATCAAAGGGACCTCAAATGTTGCATTATGTTACGGAGGATCAAACTTACTTATCAATGGGTATGTTGATTCTGACTATGCAGGAGATTTGGATAAAAGCAAATCTACTACAGGATATGTGTTCAAAGTTGCTGGTGGAGCTGTAAGCTGGGTTTCAAAATTGCAATCAGTTGTGGCTACATCCACAACAGAGGCAGAATATGTAGCAGCTACACAAGCCAGTAAAGAAGCAATTTGGTTGAAGATGTTATTGGAGGAGCTTGGGCACAATCAAGAGAATGTTTCTCTTTTTTGTGACAGTCAAAGCGCCTTGCATCTAGCAAGGAATCCAGCATTTCATTCAAGGACAAAGCACATACGAGTTCAATACCATTTCATTCGTGAAAAGGTGGAAGAAGGAACTGTAGATATGCAGAAGATCAATACCAAAGACAACATAGCAGATTTCATGACGAAGGCAATCAATTCTGATAAATTTACTTGGTGTCGATCCTCTTGTGGCCTGTCAGAAATGTAAGCAACATGATGGTATAAGGTAGAAAGAATGATGTGAATATATGATTGTTCCAATCAAATCTTCAAGTGGGAGATTGTTGAAAGTCCAAGTTAATTGTCAAACTTGGGGGCACCGAAAGTGCACAATTAATGGCACCAAAAAAGTAGCCAGCAATTGTGGAAAAATTTGCAAGGGTAAAATTACACTTTTAGCCCCCCTAGACTTTAGGGTATTTACAAATTAGTCCTTATGATTCAACTATAAATATCCTAGCTTATTTAGCTTCAAAACCATCCCAAAGCATTCTAGCTTTCTTCCAATACTAGAGAGAATTTAGAGAGTTTCTTGAGAGTTGTTTTCTTCTTTTTATCGAGAGAGAATTATCATTGTTTTCTCCTTGGTAGATCGAGAGATGTTGTAATTCCTATTTTCTCATAGTGAAATTCTTCTACCGTTGCCCGTGGTTTTTACCCTATTTTATTTAGGGGTTTTCCACGTAAATTTTGTGTCTCTTTTTATCTTCATTTTTATTTTCTCAAATTATCAGTTACGATTTTGCTCTATCCGATAGCCGTCTTTCACAACACTACCAATTTGAAAATAAAACATTCTTATATTATATTTATAAAACTGGTGATTTTGTCAAATATAATTGAATAAATACATTGCACAATTGATCTTTTGGCTTTTTGCCTTTTATAATGCAGAAAATTTGGAAATATAATACAAAGCATATACAGCACAGTTGCTTCTGCAAGATATGATTGCCCCTGTATAATATCATTCTCGTCTTCTTGTCAGTTTAGACGTTAAATGTTAATTCAATGTCTAAATTCTGGACTCTAGCTAACATGAAATGATGCCTTTGTGAGGAGTAAACAGTGTTCAAATGAGATAGTGATTCACTGGCTTTAACGGCAAGTGAACACAATTCTTGAAGAGAAAGTGTTGCTTGTGATTCGGACAGTGGCAAGAGGAAGTAGAACCGATCGGATCGAAGCTGTTCGTCTTCGGGTACACGAGGCAGGCGTAAGTTTACGTACATGAGCTCCGAGTCACAGAGGAAACACTCCGGATTCTGAGAGAGAAGAAGGGAGGCTTTGATGGGTTGCCTGAATTCTTGAAGCTTTCCATTTGGATGTATGATTTTGGTAGTAGGTGGCGGTCGGCTCGAGTTTCCGCCCTTTGTCGTCGAGTGTTGAGAAGATGCACAAATACCCATTTTCGAATCGACGATTTCGACTTATGCTAACACGAAACGGTCATGTAAACAGAATCGAGTCAAGATGAAACCAGAGTGGAACTTGAGGGTGGAATGGAGGAGAAGGGTTGTGGCATTGAGCAATATATAGGGACAGAAAAGCAAAGGCAAAGATGCTCCAATTCCAAGGTTTTGACTTGAGCCAATAGTATCTTACATTTGTATAGGTACTAAAAGTGGTGCATTAAGTATGATATTTGGGGCTGCTAAATAAAGTGGGGATATGTAATATGGTCAATGATAGAGTCAAAGAGTATATATTCTTAAATTCTACAATTATTCTTTATTTTATAACATTTTTTTATTGGTTAACATTGAACTTGTTCAAAGGTCAAACTCTAAAAGTATTTAAATGAAATATTAAACCTAAAAAATAAACTTCTTTTAGGGATGGACGTTTAAGGATAAAAGTATAATAAAAAAATTCCCAACCTAGCCTAAAAACAATATTATAATTATCTTTTATATATTTAAAAATAATTACTATAATACACCTCCTCTGTTTAATCTAATAAAAAATTATATATATTTGTGTTGGTGCTTGTTTTTTCCCCTACAAATTAAATCAGATTTCATATCGGGATAACTTCTCTTCGAATCAGATGACAAGTTAAAGAGTGTTATACTCGAGTCAAGTCTAGTCAAATTTTTTTAGCATCAAGTGAAGTGAAAAATTCAATATTTTTAGTAAGACCATTTTTTTAAGGTTCTCAAACTATAACCCAAGTTGTTTGTATTTTAATTGTATCTTTAAAATATTGTATAATCATATCAATCAAATTCTTTTATCGGCATAACATCAAGTTGGACATTTGAACTAACATTTAACGACCAAGCTTATGGCTAAGATGGCAGAATGACCAAATCGATACAATATTAGTTCTTTGAGGGCAGAATTAGAACATTTTTGAAGTTCGGGTACTAGTTTTAAATCCGATCCAAAATCCAAACACTAATAGAGACCAGGTAAATGTATATTCATGAAGTTACCACTGGTTTCATTTGAATAAAAAGGCCAACAACCATTTGACCAAAGCAAGCACAGAAATAAACTTATGTGATTACACTTCGGCCTCGTACTAAATCAGAAAAGAAAACCGGAACTCGCAATCTCTTTCGTGTTCCAATTAAATTCCCGGCTTGTAAATCCACTGCATCATATTAGGAGAAAAAATCAGCAACAAACAATGCAAAACGAACTTTTCGAGTCACGTAGATGAGGGACACATGCTAAGGGCTTCAACAATGATTCATCATCTAAAAGATAAGGTCAGCCGCTATATGATTCACATAATTACCGTATGAAGCGATCTGTTTTCAAAGCCACTAAATTCAAATTGAAGGCATCGATTTTAGGTGCACTTGACTGGTATCTTTCACAACGATCGTTGTAAAAGTGAAATAACAGTATTCTATTTCAACTGCCTACACACAGGCATGCAAATCTAAACAACCGAATGTGGAGCGACTGATTTAGACAACGATATCATTTGGAAGAAAATATAAAAAAGACTTACCCATGAAAATGGTGATTTGCTTAGAGATATGCAGGTTTAGCATAATAACCAGTAATACTACTTGGCAAGGGAAAGGCATCACCGCACACTTATGTAAATGGATACAAAGAATGGCTCTCATAGCTATCATAACACACTCAACTCGCAACGAGACAGTAATGGCAACTTTTAAGGAAGTCAAACAGATCAGTGTACCTGAAAAATGGTTTTGATAAACGAAAATCACCCAAGCCAATGAATATACTCCAAAACTTTAACAAAGATGACAATCAGGAAATCAAAAGTGCTCTCGGAAGGCAATTGTAATCCACCTATAGGACAAGGCATCCTGGTCCAGCATCGTATGCAGGGACTGAAACACTAAGAGGTTTGTAACGAGACAGTAAAGACACCAATGCACACTTATGTAAATGGATATAAAGAATGGCTTTCATAGCTATCATAACACACTCAACTAGCAACGAGACAGTAATGGCAACATTCAAGGAGGTAAAACGGATTGGTGTACCACTAAAAGAGTTTAGATAAAAGAAAATCATCCCAAGCCAATGAATATACTCCAAAACTTTAACAAGGATGACAATCAGGAAATCGAAAGTGCTCTCAGAAGGCAAGACATCCCCTGCCAAAACTTTAACAAAGATGATATTTTTAGGTTTAAATACTTGATAGGTCCTTGTTCTTTAGAAGTTAAGCAATCAGTCCCTGCCAAAGTTAGATCCTAGTATAACCATCCTGAATTTCATTGCCTTCCTAAATATACCCATTTGGAGAACTTCCATTTACAACAATAATTCGTCTGTAAAAACCCACAGAAAACAATACCCTGCCCCCAGAAAATGGCTTCTTATAATAAATGATTTCAGGGTACAATAAAGTTCAAGCCTTTGAATTTACCTGAATTTAGAACTCAAGCTTGAGCTCATCCTTTTCATCATAGAGGTAATGGAGAACGTAAGGGGTGACACGAATCACGGCTACCAAGACCCCAAACATAGCCACGTGTGCCTTCAGCTGTTTCAAGGCCGCCGCCTTGTCTGGTTTGCGCATAAACATGCCTGGGAACATGGCTGCTTCTGTTTGAGTTGAGTTGAGTTGAGTTGAGTTGTGTTGTGCTTTTCGATTGGAGTGGTCGATGGAGAGAGAGAGAGGGAGAGAGCCTCAAACCCTAGCCGCGTTGGGGTTTTAATGCAACGGAATGTATTTGTTGCCTTGTTATAAGACCGGTACATGAACTTGGTAACCTTTCTATAACTGGTACCTAACTTTGGAAAAAATATCAAATTGGTACGTGGTGTGATTTGATATTCCAACAACCGATTAAATTGTGAATCATGAAGCTTGATGACGTCATTATTTAATCGATCAGTGTCACGTCTGTTACCTGATTGGTTTCGAGACGTCAAGTTGATGTAGTAATCTGAGAAGGAATGTCAAGTTTAAATACCAATTTATATAATAAGCCTACTTTTATACTTAAATATACATTTTGATATCTAGATTTGACTTTAAAGTTCAATTTGATACCTAATTTTAAATTTAAAGTTCAAGCTGATACTTAAATATATTTTTCAATTAGGTACTTGAATTTGATTTTTAGGTTAAATTGATATAAATTTAACTTCTCCGTTTAAATTAGTTAAAACCTGAAAGTACCTATTTGAATGAAAAAGTTTAGTTCATGTTCCAATTTGACCCACAAAATTAAAAAAAAATTAAATTGAAATATCGATTTAAACCAAAAAATATATAATATCCGATCAAAATTATTTGATCAATGAACAGAATATAAAAAAACTAACGATTAAATCGTTCCTAAAAGATTAGAATTCATCCTCAAATAATTTAAGGACAACTTAAGTGACACTCGATCGATAGATAGATAAATAGATATCTCGAGCAAAATTCATCCCAAATTCCATTCCAAATATTCATAAAACCGTACAAATATAACTAGAAGTGGCACTCAAAGATAGATATCTTAATACAAGAACCAATCCATCAATTATAGTGTAATATACAAGGAAACAATACAAAGAAAATCAAGAGAACTGGTGATTTATGAACCTACAGGACTTCTATGATCAAAGCCCAAGCAGGATGGACCAACAAGAGAACAATGCCGATCGTGTTCAATAATCCATGCGCTTTCGTGAACGAATTTCGAAACCCACCCGATGCCCGGATGTGTTCTTGAAGAAGGTAACAAGCCATGGCAAGGCATACCAACATACCAACCTAGCTGTTTCTTAGTGTGCTCGAGAATAAGCTCGGAGCCACCACGATGAGAAGAACCAAAGCAGCCGGTAATTCCAGCCAATCTGCAGTTTTAGATCGAAGTCGTCAACTTACCAACTACTTCAATGCATAATCTTTCAAATATTACAAGGCAAAACAAGTATCGGTCCTCTGCGTGTTATATCGGCCAGGCTAAGGTGCAAGGAAAGCCTACGACGCCCACGAGGTTGTAAACACCCAGCTTGTCCGGTTGTCAGCTGGAAAGTCGGGCCATTTAGCACGGCAAGTGACTATCAAAACCCCACAACCTTGCCAAGAAGTAGCTATGGGGCTGATAAACCCGATCACTAAACAGATCAAGTAGGCTACGGCACTAGTACGGCCAAACATAGTAAAACAAACATCATACCCGGAAAACGTCTAGGGAAGAACAAGCGTAAAACAACTGCAACAAAAGCAATCCATTTTACGATGTCTCCGTTGCAAGACCGAAACGGTTTATTAATCTCGAAGAGAAGAAGGCCTACTCGAGGTACGAGAATGAAAGAGAGAACGGATCTTTACCGGAAGGTGCTGAACAGTACCCAAGGAAGACTGAAGATGTATGGGATTAGTAATGTTGTAAGAATGTTTGTTTTCCAATTTGTTCTGTCCAAAATCAATAAATATCTGCAATAACCACAAGGACAGAACTATAAAGCATTAGAATTCTTGAACTCGTCGATTCCGATCTGAATTCGAAAGCCTTTATTAATTCGAACTAAAACAAATCCTAATTCGATTTGATCGTAAAAAGGCCAATAACCTGAATTCGAACTAATTGTACTCAAAACGATTCGGACCCGGATATAATGGAGATAATCCTAAATTCTGGAAATGGAGCTAAAAACAAGTCCTAGTTCGATTTGATCATAAAAAGTCACCATGGATTCTAATTGATATAAATCAAAACTAATTGTACTCAAAACGATTTGAACCGGAATACAATCGAAATTACCCTAAAATCTGTGAATGAAGCTAAAATCAAGTCTTGATTTGGTTTGATCATAAAAGGTTGACAGCTTGAATTCTAAATTCCAAATTAAATGATTCGGACCCGATTACAATGAGATATCCTAAAATCTGAGAATGGAACTAAAAAAAAGTCCTAATTAGATTTGATCATGAAATGTAGACAACATGAATTCTAATCGATTCAATTCCAAACTAAACGATTCGAACCCGATTACAATGAGATATCCTAAATTCTAAAAATGAAGCTAAAAACAAGTTCTAATTCAATTTGATCATAAAAAAAATTAACCAACTAAATTCTGATTGATTCGAATCCCAACTAACTGTACTCAATACAATTCGAACCCGAATACAATCGAGATAACCCTAAAATCTGAGAATAAAGCTCAAAACAAGTCGTAATCCAATTTGATTATAAAAATGGTCAACAACCTGGATTCTAATTGATCTGAATCCAAGCCAACTGTACTCGAAAGATTCGAACACAACTACGATTCAGATAACCCAAAATCTGAGAATTAACAAGTCCGAATTCGATTTGATCATAATAGCCAACAACCTGAATTCTATTCAATCTGAATACAAACAAAACTAACTGTAGTCAAAATGATTCGAACGCAAATACAATTGAAATAACCCTGAAATCTCAGAAAGAAACTATGAACAGATAAAGAGTAGCGTACATGGCAGCAAAGGAAGCGATCCTGAAACCCCAAATCCGGAAGCACCCAACATGATGGCATGATTAGCTAGCTTCTTAGCAGCAAAGACGAGCTCATTCAAATCAGAACTCATCAGATGAGTAGTTTCTTGCTTAGCCCTCGTTGCTAAAGAACTAATTTTTCCTTTTTCCAGAATTCGATCCCGCTTCTGCTTTCAAGTCCCAACTAGTGCGAACAATCCATTGAAAAGCTTCCATGTGTTCATTGGGAAAACGCAAGTGATTTTGACTTGTTTTGGACGTTGGGTGTCACGTGGAGAAATATGCTTAGCTAAGGTATTGTACTTTGATTTTGTGTTCTCATTTAATCGTAATTCCAAATATTAAATATATTTAGGTTTGGTCAAAAGATTTCGGATTAGAATATCATAAATATAAGTATTTAATATTAAATAGTTAAAATTTATGTCATTAATCAAAAAATTATATATTTAGATGTAATTTTTTTATTTAAGAATTAAATTAAAAATTTTAAATTTGAATCAAATTAAATAAGGGACGAATACGTGTTATTTCCGGTTGAATTAAAATGGGCCAAAAACCAGATCTAACCCATGGAAGCTTTGTTTCTTGGACTCATAGGTTGAAAACGTGGCCTTTTAATTGGGAGAATGAGCTATCTGTTTGGACTAAAAACCCTTCATTTTTATTCTATTTTTTTATTATTAAAAACATATATTTTTAATTTTTAATTACGTATGGCTTGTAATTTTTATTGGTACGGGAATAATTTTATTATTTTTAATATTAAAAATAATTATCATTCTTCAATATTTAACATAACCTCTCAAAGCACAATATATATGACTTATTTATTAAAAATAATTTACAATTATTAAACAAAACTAATCCATTATTTAATAACCAATTTTCATCCGGACATTTATTATTATTATTATTTTCAGGTCACAAAACAAGATCCAAATTACAAACGGGTCAGTGGCCCAAACAGCAAGCCAAATCAGATTCAAGATGCAAATGGGCCCAACCTTTGGAACCCTAGGCCCACACATGATGAAACCAAGTTGCTAGGGTTTTCACCCTAGCAATTCGCCGCCGCCAGTACAAGAAAAGAGCCTCACGTTGTCGCCGCCGTCCAAGTCGAGCCATGCCCGCTGCCGCCGCTCACTACCCAAGCCGAGATAATCCCATCAGTCACCGCCACTAACAGATCCTGCCACTGTTGCTATCACTAGACTGAGCCTTTCCCATCGCTATCGCTTCCGACACCAGCTGTCATTGCCGTTTCAGTCGACCGTCACATGTCCATCAAGAAAAGAAGGCCAAATCATTAAAAAGAATATGCATAAAATACACATTATTTTTACTCGGATAAAACGAAGAAATCAAATCCAAGACTGTCAACTGCCAAAATAGGGACAATCATACCTTATTTTCTCGAAAATACAAGGGCAAATCCACATGCAAGATAAAAGGAGGCATCCATAGCATGGAAATGGGGATTCGGAACGAAAAAAGAGAAGAATGAGAGATAAAAAGAGGAGAAAAAGAAGAGAAGCAGATCGAGAGAGAGAGAGAGAGAGAGAGAAGGCTCACCGGAGAAGATCAAGCGCTGCCAGAGTAAGAAAACCCCGAAGATCTATGTCATTCCAGTTATTTTGGAGGCAATCGGACACCGGATCTGTTCTTGGGGCATTGAGAGCCGTTGAAAGGTGGTTCCATCTCATTTCACCAGCACTGGCGAACGGCGGTCAACGGTGCAGTCACGACGGCCTGGAGGACTCTTTTACCGTTTTCTTGAATTAAGAAGAGAGAAGGGAGAGAGTTTCTGGAGAGAGAGAGGAAATAAAAAACAGTGAAATGGAATGAGAAAAAAACAGTGAAAAGAAGTTTATAAGGATCCACGAAAAGGCGTCGTTTTGGTCCGCGTGTGTAGGGAGGGGCTAATTTCGTATCCAGTCCTTGAAGTTTGTAATATATCACTTTAGTCACTAAATGGAATGTATCCTTTTTATTCTTTGAGCCTTTAATTTATACAACATATTTTGGTCACTAATATTTTAGTTTAGTGTTTTAATGTTTCATGGTTTATTCACGACTTTAGAACCTTTTCTTTATGCGTTTTACATGTTGATCCATTATGCATGTTTATTTAACTTCTCTGTTGTAATTTATATTTGACTTGTTATTTTAAATATTTGTATTTTAGTCCTATTTAATGCTTATGGGTTTA